TACGGAGACATAGAAGATAATTGGGCCCAGGTGGTTGTGATTAGGCTCCTCCCAAGAGAGTATGTAAGAAGAGACTTTGGGAGGAGACCTTTTGCAGGACACAACCGTTATACTAAAGCTGGAGAAGCTCTTGTGTGTATTTCTTATCTGTGGAAGTCTGGGTTGCTGCCAAAGTCTTGTCTATGAGTTAATTACTGTGAGTAAATTGGCTAACAGTAATCTTGTGTCGGCGTGACTCACCGTATGGAGGGGGGTCAGAACAGGTGGCCATCAGAAGGGACCCTAGATCCCCGAATTATAAGCCTAGTTCATCAAGTCATAACTGCCCCAGAGATTGGCTATCCAGATCAATATCAATATATTGATCAATGGCAAATTGCAGTCGGAAAATGTCCCGATTGGCTTAAAAAGTGCAAAGTTGAAATGCTGAAAGTATGTATAAATCGCACCCTAGAATCTGCCCAGAGGAAGAAAATTTTACTCACAACAAAGGGGGCAGCCATGATCTTAACAGGAAGGCAGGAGGAAGACAAGTGTCCCCACGTTACGTCTCCCGCTACCCCCCAATATATCAGCCACCCCCAATAATGGAAGTGCCGATCCTGAAGGAAGACCCAGTCAGGCCAAAACAGAAAGGGGCATCAGCCCCACTGAAGACAGAGGCTGAGTCCGGCGCAGGTCTAGAATCCCCAATTTCAGGAAGGACTAGAAGTAAGGCAGACCAAATCACCTTAGCTCCACTTAGGCAGGTGGATCAAAGGGTCTTAAATGCACAAAACCAAAGCCAATTGGTGTCAATTTTCCAATATACTCCATTCACTACGACTGATCTCCTTAATTGGAAACAGCACTATGATCCGTTTTCCCCAAAACCAAGGGAGGTGATCGAGCTGGTTCAAACCATCATCCAGACCCATCTCCCGACTTGGGTGATATTGGCCAGCTGTTAGGGAGATTGTTCAGAGATAGAATGATCAATATCCTGGCTGATAAAGTATAAAAACCTATAACCAACTGCCCTTTGGGGTTCAGATTCTGCTTGAGCTTTCGCTGCTGAACCTTGCGCAATAAACCTTTCCCTCTGACAAAGAGCTGGTTTGGTCTCATTTCTGCAACACAGCAGTTATTAAGCAAGACATTATGTGATTGCTTCACTCAGTGACTGAAATCCCAGCATTACTGGTTGTGTTCATTAAGCTATCTTGCAGGTCATTAAGTAGACAGTCCCGAGTAAGAAGTGTGCAGTGTCTCAAAGGGTGGGGGAGACTCTGGGAGGTGAACAGCAGTGTGTGTATCTCTCCACTCAGAATCTTAAAAAGACATGTCTGCCAAAATCCAAGCAGAATTTACAATTGTCAACTGTTTCTCATCTCAATTGCTCACTCACCTTTTTTTTTCTTTTTTTGCCTACCTCAAATTGACATTTTACCTTTATTCTCCAAACTTCCATTTCATTATTCTCTTATCTTTCACAAAAAAGCCTCAGGATAATTTGAAACAAAGAATATAAAGATAATAAAATATTAACAAAAGAAGCAGCAGTATAGAATGAAAGCAACAAATAACAGAGAAAACAGCGGGCAAATAGAAAAAAAAAAGGAAAGCTGATTAAAAGCAGCCTGTAGAGTTTTCAAATAGTTCAGAAATGACAAAAGTTGTTAAATATGTCAAAACTTTACTGGGTTCTCTAAATGAGAGCTGAAAGTCTTCAATATCACCTTGGAGAGAGATGGTGTATCATTTGGATTCCAGCAGAGAAAATCCACCATTTATTTATTATGCATTATGCCACTCCCATAGTTATCAATCTCAAAATGGTTCCCAAAGAATACTTAAAATTAAACTATAAACAGTTCATGTTTTAAAAGTGAGGAAGAGAAGATGAAAAATGAGATGAAAGGCAAAGGCAGCATTGATATAGGGAAGGTTTATGTCAAGAGGCAAATCATTAAAATAAGCTTAATGTGTAAACTCTGGCTGCACCTGCCTGACAATGCCCAGATTGGAAGCTAAGAAGAACTAGATCTGTTTAGCACTACTGTACATAGGATTCCTCTGTAAATATCAACCCTGAAGACTATGGTGGGAAGTTGAAAAAACACAATGGGCAATGTCTTCTGTACCGTTTCCAAGGAAACAATATGGACATGCCCCTGCAGTCAAGCTTCACTAGAAATACTTTCAAAAGATAAGATGTCTCATGAATCTTGAGAGGCAGAATATTTGATTTGCTAGTGGTTTCCATATGCTTTCCAGAGGAAGCCACACAATGCACTCACATTTGTTCAGGAAACATTTTAGAGGTAAACCCAGCACCTGAGTTACAACCTGAGATAGCATGGTACAAACAATCCAATAATACAGCAGCTTTAAAAACACCAACAAGAAAAGGAGAGAGTCCAAGTCCCCCACTATGCCCAGAGATTTCTAATTCAGAGATTGTGACCTACTACATATGATAGTGGCATACATGATTGGTAAACTCGGCTAATGTTCTGTTGGGAATGGCTTGCATCCTTTAAGTTTCTCATGTAGCAGAGCTCATAATGTGACTTGGATATTACTACAGATGGATTATTATGCCTATGATGACCCTCTCCAAGGTTGGCATGCGTGCCAAAGCACACATCACTGCAGCTGAAATCTCATCCCCAGATCATATCTGTCTATAACCTTTCAAAATCCAATCCTAAATTCACCTCGTGTGACACTGCTGCTAGACAGCCCATGACATTTTACATCAGAAATGTAGTTCCTTAATAATTTTACATCAGAAATGTAGTTCCTTAATTTTGTTCCTATCATGTTCGCTAGGATTTTTCTCCAGTTCTTACAGTATTAGATAATCAAGAATTACCTAAAGTGTCTTAAACATACTTTTAGGCACTAAGCAAACAGAAACAAATATTTGAAAGTAGCTGGATATATGAGAAGCATTAAATCAGCTATGCAGTTTATCGACATTTCCAAATAAAGTACCAATAGTTTCTTATCTCTTAATTGAAAGAGATAGCTGGGCAACTGTTAATAAAATAATCTACTATCAAACAATTATGAGCTTCCATTCTCTGAATTATAGAATTAATTTACAAATTTGTATGTGATTATTTTAAAAGCACTTCTAATTTGTAGCTCTCATCTGAATAAATGATTTGTAGAGGTAATTGCTACATCATAAAAAGGAAATTATCTAAAAGTGAAGGATGATAAAAAGGGATGGTGAGACTTTAATTCTGCAATTAACAGCTTCCTGTCTGAGGGTTACTAACTTGTGGGAGGCCTTGGTAGTTCTCCAGTAACCTGAGAGTGATTCTCCTGCAAATAAAAGTCAAAAGAAGGACGGTGAAAGCTAAGAGTAATCCACAGCAGGGGTAAAGGCAGATGGAGCTCTGTTGGCATAAGGATAGCCAAACCATTTAGGAATAGGAACTCCAAAATCAAGCCCATTGCAAAAACAAGCCATTTTGTATCTTTAACAAAAAAACCCTCTAGGAACATGGTTGTGACATTTAATAAATTTAGATTTAAAAAATTGGAAAACACCCCTCTAGTTATTGAGAAGCAGTAGTGAAAATGAAATTATAGTACAGAACATCTAAAAATAGACCTGGAGATGATGATTTGGTAAGACTAAAGGAAGTCTGGACATTGATGATATCAATATTTTAAAAACACTTTCCTTATAAGGGCATATATAATTGAAATGCAAGAAATACAGGGAAGGACCAAAGGAATTATTAGAATGCTTTTATTTAAAAATAGCTTGATAAGCAAGCTTTTGTCCACAGAATCACCAGGAGCTGGATCCAACTCAATAATACACAATTATGCAATTTACTTATAAGTAAACCCCATAGATCACAATGAATAGATACTGCTAAGCTGTTTCTTTAAACGATGTTTATTGAATAAAATCTTAGTTGAATGGTTTTGTCCATCACAGAAAAACCACACACTCTTTTATAAACTTAATTGTCTGAGTTCACACAACCCACTATACTATGACTTAATAGCATCATATATGAATTCAGTCGGATTCTCTCTCAGAAGACTACTATTATTGGTACAAATAAATATTGAAAACGTTACAAGATAATAAGACTGAATAATATTCTTATCTAATATTTGATCATTGTTCATAAGATTTAAAATGTGAATTATCAACTATAGGGCATCATGGATGCAGTGACATTTCAATGAATCTCGATATTATCCGCTTGCAGTGCTCTGCACTAAAGGATGTTAACATTTACCGTCTGTATTATGTTTATTATTTATTATGTACATTATTAGGTACATATATATCCTTTGATGGGAAGGTAACAGCTTTGTGTGTTTAGTCATGCTGCCCACATGACCACGGAGACAAAGGCAACAGTGGTGGCTCTTCAGCTTTGAAACGGAGATGAGCACCGCCCCCTAGAGTCAGGAACAACTAGCACATATGTGCGAGGGGAACCTTTACTTTTTTATATCCAGTTCAGGCAGAACTGATCTCTGTTACTCTTTCTTGGACAGCACTGACTCGGGTATTGTCTGATAGAAGAGATTCAGTGATCTACATAGTCAATAAACAAAGAATATATTGGGAAGAAAAGCCAGTGCAGTAGGAAAACAACTAGTAGTAGGGCTTTAAGTATGCATCCGTCTTCATATCAATATGTTATGGACTATAACAAACACATTTCTAATAAAAATATTTGACACTATCCAAAAAAGTAGGACACTTTAACATGTTTTATTTATTTTAAGGTTTATCTCCTGTCCTTCTTTATGAAGAAAACCAGAGTATTATTTTTTTAAAAAATAATAATCCAAGTACTTCAAATCTGAGCACAAAATACTGTTGCTCCCCGATTGAATCGAAGTGCTATCCAGTGGTCCATCACTGAAAATAATACTGCTTTCACATCCGCTATTCCCCATTGCTGACTTCTATTTTGGCTCTACTGCTTTGACTATCCACTATATAACAAAGAATATTTGTTACAATCCAATGTTGCAATATAATGACAACTCGCGGAGAGACGGCGTCTCTTGGCTGGTAAGCAGCTACTGCCGGTCACAAGAATCCAGAGCGTCTGTTCTCTGCCGGAAAGGGTTCCGGGACGTGCCAACCTTTATGGTTTCCATAGAAACAAGGCCTCTGCCGTCGAGACGGCCCTGCTTCGCTTTGAAGAGAATAATCTGTTGGGAGGTGGTGATTAAGAGAAGGGAACTCTTTAAAGGAATTCGTCCCCGCTCAGCTCTGAGGACCTTTCAGTTGGAGGGGCGTTGACTTTGTTCACCGGCCTCCCTTTAATCAAAGGTTGGTGTTTTGCATTTAATTTGCAGTATCTCTCACTGTGCTCTTTTACAGTTGCCTTTGGCATCAGTGTCCCACTGTAATAAAACCATAGCTTTTCCTGGATGGAGAAAACTCTGGATCCTGGAAACTTGTATATAATGTCAGTCTTCCTCCTACCCTGTAATAAATGTGTAATTTCCCGTGTGTTATTTGTATCTGTGAAGTCTCTTTCAGTATTGCTGCCTTATAGTGTTTGTTTTTTGTTATTAATATTTAGGAGAAAGTTTTGCTGTGTCTGTGTGTGTATATATACTTTCTCTTATCCTTTCAAATATTTTACCCATTTCCTTTTTAACTTAGGTCACTTTGACTATAATTTCTGACAACTGGTAGTTCATTTTCTCAACTTTTGAGGGAGGAAATGCTCAGGCTGTAATGTAGTATAAACTTAAAATAAACCTTAGGTAGTTTTACAAAGAAAATCCCTCAAACATAACTCCCAAATCGGGAAAAGTATCAGCTTATTTCACTTACATACCACTTAGCAAAACTCACTTAACAAATTTCTTCCTTAACAACATAAACTTTGGGCTCAACTGTGGTCGTAAGTTGAGGACTACCTGTACTCTTCCTATTTTTCCCACAAAAACTCTGTGAGGTAGGCTGAGCTGAGAGTGACTGGCCCAAAGTCACCCAGCCAGTTTACAAGGTGGTACTAGAACTCATATGCTCCTGGTTTCGAGACCTGCACCTTAGCCACTAGATCAAACTGGCTATAATGTTGATTCTTAACCAACAATATCTGTTCAGCAGCAAAACAACAACAACAACAACAACAAATAACAACTCAGTTAAATTGACCACTAAAGTAGAATTGAGTTGTAGAATTTAAGAAATATTCTTTTGAAAGTTACTTTTGTCATCTTGGTAATAAATGTAGAGATCATGCTACAACAAAAATTATATTTTTAAAGTATCAGCTGTGACAGTGGTTTTCTGGCAAAAAGTTACATGGTGTTGGAGGATTGGGCCTATTGTGATGGCTTGAAAATGACAAATGCTTAATAGAGCACTGATTTTATTAGTACAGCTTTCATATGTTTTAGTATGGCAGGATCCCATTTTGATTTCTTAAATACTTATTGTTATGTTTGCCTTTTATTTATTTATATATACAATAGCTTGACCCTGACAACTACATACCATTCTCATTTGAAAA